GCCCGAAACAGACAGTCCTGCTGCTGTGATTAAGGGATAACGTTTTCCCAAGGGAAGGCTGGGCCTCACACACCTGTGGTGGCACGGAACCAGCCTGTGAGGCTGATTCAGCAGCGGGCAGGGAGAGTGGGACCGATGGTGGATTCTAGAACGACAGAATCACTCTGGTTGGGAAAGAACCAGGATCGCCGAGCCCACCTGTTAACCCAGCACGCCGTGCTCACCATGGAAGCACCTCCTCAGGTGCCATATCCACGCGGGTTTGGGACACTTCCAGGATGTGACAGGCTTCCCCAGGCACACGAGGCAGGGCCCATGCCAGGGGCACCGCCTCACTGTGAGCCCGCAGAACGGGCCGGGGGTGTCGGAGAGGGGGGGGACTGGCTCGGCACAGGCGGGAGCCTCGCCGGGACATCGCCGCATCGGGCTTGCTGCTGGCGGCCGTGGCGGCCATCCCGCCGCCGGAGGAGGCGGCGCGCATGGCGCGCTACGTGCTGCACAGCTGCGACTGGGGCGCGCTGGCCACGCTGTCGGCGCAGGAGGGGCTGCGCGGCCGCCCCTTCGCCAACATCTTCTCCCTCAGCGACGGCCCGCCCGGGCCCTGCGGCGGCAGCGGCGTGCCCTACCTGTACCTGACCGACATGGAGATCTCCGTGCAGGACCTGGAGGTGAGCGGTGACACGGCGGCCTCGCGGAGAAGCACTCAGGGGTACAGGGGGGGTTTGGCAGGGCAGTGTGACAGCGCTGGGTCACTGAGCCACGGGATTTCCCTGCCACGGCTGGGTCACCTCGGGCAGGTGACACAGGAACGTTTCCAGGTGGGGCTCTGCAGAGTGGGAGACTCCAGAGTGGCTGTTCCAGTGCCCTGCCACCCTCTTCCTCATCTGTGTTTTGGTTTATGGCTGTTCCGTGGATGTCGCCCCGTTTGACAGCCCTGGGGACAATTATTAGCCCTTTTGCAGTGCTGTCTGTGGTGACAGCCAGGAGAGGTTCCTGCTGATCGTGGTCTTGGGACAGAAAGGGCAGCACCAGGCAGAGGAGGTGTCTGCAGCTTCCAGAAGCGCTGAGCAAAGAAATGAGGCGCCACGGAACATTTGAACATTTGAAAATTTCACACACAAAACAGCCAAAAGGACTGGACCTTGTCAGTGTGGGACCTAAGCAAAGGGAATTCTTACAGAGCCTGCTGGAGAAATAGTTATTAAATCTCTGGCGCTTACCGTAAAGGGAAGCACACATGGAAAGGCAGTGTTGGCACACTGAGAGTCCCAGTGTGTAATTGGCCTTGTCCCAGAGCTTTTGTGGCCAACAGTTTGCTAAAAGCTTAATGAAATAGCAGTTGCATGCCTCCTCTATGTGGTTTCTTTTAGTAACTTAAAATATTAGTCGACACAAAATAATGGTAATATTTCAGACTGTTTTATCGTTTTTTGTTTGTTCCCTGTCAGACTTCAGTTTGTTACCTCAAAATTGTTTAATTATATGTCTGAGTGCTGTAGAGTCTAATTTATTTTGCCTGATACTTTTCTTTCCATCCCAGATACAGCTGTTTGCTTTCAAATAACACAAAAGCCACGGTATAAACTGGTAATGAGTATTTCCTTCAGAGGGCTCCTCACAGGTCCTTATTTTGCTGCTTCAGGACAGAAACTCTTGACACGTGATAGTCACAGGCAGGGGAGAAGGTGCCTAATAATCGTGAGTCAGCTTTCTGGGAGTTAAGCAACTTCCTATCTCTCAAGTGGTTGCTTCTGTTTCATGAGGTCACCGGTGCTCTCCGTAGTGTTCAAGTGACTGTGGAGGGTTTCTCTTGGACATGAGCCCTCCTAATGAAACTTCTCCAAGCAGGGGAACTTCCCTTACTGGGAGAGAATGACCCTTAGTATGTGGCATTCTGCAGTCCTGTCTGGCACCAGTGCTTTGCAAGCCATGGTCACCAAATTAGTTTTTAGAAAAACAATCAG